CGACCCCATTTGTGGAAAGCGGGTCAAAAATAATGCTATATCCGCCAAAGCTACCCAGCGAGCTCATTCGTAGTCATTAACAGCTTCTATCATGCCCTAACCAGGCAGGAATACGCAGCTAGACCTCACGTTCATTTATACTAACCTCCATGACAACGTCTCCCATGGCCAATACAACCTCCCTGCCTCCCAACAATCCTGGCACTCAACCCTTCGCGAACCTGCTAAGCCCAGCTTCATCTCCATTCCAGATATCCGAGTCCCCGCCGTACGCGTAACTATCCGAGTTCTGCCAGATAGACTGGTACGGCCAGCCGCCGGGGATGGTGCCAACGGAGCTGGAGTAGCGGGCCAGCACCAACGGGCAGTCGGTGAAGGCGGCGCTGTTCCCCGTGCACGTACTCCACCAGTTGGCCGTGGTGTAGATCATGGGGTACCGCCCGACGGCGCTCTTGTAGGTCTCGACGAAGTCGGAGATCCACGACACCATGCTGGATGCGCTGAGCCCGTAGCAAGTCGCGCCGTACGGGTTGTACTCGATATCCAGCATCCCCGGGAGCGTGATGCCGTCGCTTGTCCAGCCGCCGCCGTGTTTGAGGAAGTAGTTAGCCTGCACGGCGCCGGAGCTGGTGTCCGGCCGGGCGAAGTGGTAGCCTCCGCGGATGAGGCCGGCGTTGGTGGCTCCCGTGTAGTGGGTTGAGAAGGACGGGTCTGTGTATGTGGTTCCCTCGGTTGCCTGGATGGGGGTTAGCTGAGAATGCAAGAGGGACGGGCGGCTTACTTTGATCATGACAAAGCGAGCACCGGAATTGTAGGCCCCGGCATAGTTGACGCTCGACTGGTAGTGGGAGATGTCGAATCCTTGGACGGCGGCGTGGGCTACGCCAGCGGCTGCTAGGAAAGAGATGATTGTCTTCATGGTCAAGTCGGATTGGAGATGAGTTGAATACGGAAATGCTCAGGGCGAGTTTGAACTACTGGGATGGGACAGGCGCAATAAATAGGTCCTAGCTAGGTTCCCTGGTGCTCGTATGGAACGTTACATGCGTAGAAACGAGAGGCCATCTGCCGGACATAAACCCCACTCCCCTGCATCAAGTCCCGGCAGGGCCTTGGTCTGAGGTTTCATCGTGCCTGTGAGGACAATCTTGATTAGCTGTTGGAGTTCGCTTACAGAGATCCTGGTCGAGATCTATGAGTAGAGTTGTTCCATTCTGCTCGGGGACCACAATCTGCAGATGATCCCCGCATAGCCTTAGCATGGCAAAAGCAGGGACGTGTTATGGCTGTACCTTCACGATAAGTTGAAAAGCAGAGAACCCTTTCCTATCCAGCGTGATAAAAGCAATTCAAGCCCAGATTTCAGGGGCTCCGACGGGTGTCCCGGTAGACCCGGTTCGGCTCGTAATCATGGGGCCCTTCAGGGCCTGACTAGATGGATTCGGCTATCATCTCATGCGCGATAGGCCGGTGGACTGACTAGATTGTCGCATCATTGCCACTAGTGTGCGCCACCCCCATATAGATCAGATGATTTATCTGGATAAGAGAGTCCCCAAGGCTTGAATAGATGTGTGGCTTGATTTAGAGAGTGCGCGGAATGAATTGAGACCGAAAGCTCACACAGATTTTTGGGTCCTGAATCAAAGGGCTGATTTACTGTGTGGAGCAAATCGTCAGAGACATCAGAACTGTCAGATAAATCACATAAGCCGGTTATAGCCTTTCAGTCTGTACGGTCCTCAACCCTCGGGATCCTGATTACCTGCAGTGCACTAGTTAACTATCTTTCCTGGATTCCTGCCCTCTGAGATAGAACTGCAAGCAATAAAACACCCAAGAGCATGTAGTAAGCGGGACACACCATTGGTCAAAGTCTTGATCTGCAGAAATATGTCTTAGTTATACGGGCTCGTATCGCCGGCTAAAGCAACACTCTGGCCTCACCGATTGCATCTCCAAATGCAAAAAATAGTTACCCCGGAGTACGAAAACGCCCAAAAATAGTGTCGACTAAGTCCGCTGAAGCTTTTTTTTTTTCTTTGGGCGACTATGACGGGAAATACACAGAGCGTGAGGATTGGTGATGCTCAAATGATACCGTGACATTGTAGCTGGTGAGCCATGCCACCTTCATTACTAGAGTTAAGTTATGAATAAAAAGGGGAATCTATGACACTGTCTCATATAAGACTCGAAGGAGGCGGAGAATATCGTGTCAATAACTATTAACTTTGAATTGGTCTCCTTGACGCACCATGGAGAGGTTGAGAGCAATATGTTTCTAGGGTTATGAAGAGGAAGCCATGTCTAAAGAACTGAGATGATATCTTCAGCGTCGCTGTTAGCAGAGCACATGAAACTTGTTGAAAAGGCAAAGAAAAGAAACTCGCAGCTTTAGGTCGAAAGGTACGATAATCCGAATTTTTATAGAGGAACGTGTCGTCTTATAGTTGTGTTCCAAGATGACATCAAAGACATGGTGATGTGAGGCACTAGTGCTGGGGTTTTAGCATACTTTTCGAACAAACTGTCTCTTATAATTCTATTATACCATTATGGGAGCCACGGAACATAGACGAGATGGAATAATATAGGTATGCTGCCAGCCCAACGAATTAGGGTCTAATGTGCTCCTTTGCAGAGCCTCAAGATTGACTCTGGGACTGTGAATCGAAAAGGGCATTGGACCAGGTGTCTGGAGACTAAAACAGGCTATAGGAGAAGCTTTTAGGTAAGAAAGATGCATGTATCAAGGGTACGGTAACGATGACGCGCAACTGTCGCAATGCATCTCGGGATGTATTGTGAGGGGAAAGAAATGAACGGCTGGAATCATCGGAAGTATACCTAGGGGTTTGCATCACCTTCCGCGGTTCCGGGAGATAATATACCGGGAAAATGAGGAGATCAAAGCAAATGCCGTCGGCACCTCGAGTGAGCCACTGGATAATGAGCATTGGGAGTCATGTTTCCAGACGTTGTAGACAATTCATGGAGAACCTGTCCAGAAGAATGCAATTGCACTTTCTTCTCAGGCTTTGACATACCTTGTGTTACTGTGTAGCATCGGTACAGGCCCGATTTAGGTCATCCTGTGTTCATATATAACCGCCGCGGAGATATCTACACAATGCATCGATGGGCTGACCACCATCTGTCATTTCAATTGGCACCACCTCGACAATGTATGCCCTCATATGATCCCGCCCTTGCCACTCGTCCCATGTCTACGGAGTGAGAGATGTCTGTCTAGACGTGGAGATTCATAAGAAAGTGGTAGCCTCCACTCAATCTCATTCATGTCCATCATCACCTGTGATACCTACTATCCACCATGACAACTACCAGAGCTGTTTCTCGACCATCCCTTTGGGCCAAGTACCGACCAGTCCCCCGACCTAGGTTCAGCTACGTAAGCTTCAATTCCCTGGCTGGCTTCACCTCACGCAGCGGCCCTCTTCGCGAAGCCGCTGCGGGAACCCAGACTGACGCACCAGAATTCCCCTTCGCGCGACCGCGTGCTGCAGAGCCTCCTGCTGAATTCGCGAAACTTCGGTCGTCTTGTCCAGTGTCTCGGGTGAAGCTCTGGGATGGAAGTCTACCGTGGCTGGTCGTCAAGCATGAAGATGTTTGCAATGTGTTGACTGATACTCGACTCTCGAAGGTAGGTAATCCAGTATCCCGGTACATTACAGCGAAAAGCCCCAGCGGATAGTCTGACTGAGCGTCTGTTTACTTACAGGAACGTAGCCGGGCTGGATTTCCGGAAATGAATCCCGGGGGCAAGGCAGCTGCAAAGAACAGACCGACCTTTGTGGATATGGATCCTCCCAATCATATGCGTCAAAGGTATTGGCAGTGTCAGGCCATATTCAAGCAGATTCTGATCAGTTTCGAACAGGAGTATGGTGTCGGCTTTCTTTACTCCAGAGTATATTGATTCTATGAAGCCGTTCATCCAGTCAACTGTGGACAATGTTCTGAATGATATGATTGCAAAGGGGTGCGACGAGCCTGTCGACTTGGTGGAGAGATTTTCTCTCCCAATTCCGTCGATCGTAAATTACCTTCTCACTGAGCAGCAAGACAGATAGATGACTGAAGACACTCAAGATAATCTACCACATCATTGGAGTTCCTACTGAGGACATGGACTACCTGACACAGAAGAATGCGGTTCGAAGCAGCGGCAGTTCAACCGCAGCAGCAGCCCAAAATGCCAACGAGTGAGTTACAACTTACGAGCTTTAAATATTTTGACAACGAGGCTGAACGGAGTGTGTATCACAGGGAATTACTCGCCTACCTCGGAAGTCTTGTCGATAAACGTATTGCAGATCCTAAGAAGGATCTAATCAGTACGTTGATTACCGAACAGGTATGACCTGAAGATAACTAGAGACCGCCACGCACTGGACTGACATAAATTAGCTCAATCCAGGTCACCTCGATAGGTTAGATGTCGTTCAGCTGGCTTTTCTCCTGCTAGTGGCCGGGAATGCCACCATGGTGAACATGATTAACTTGGTGAGTCCCGTTAGATCATTTCGTCACTACCTCCCTGTATGCTGAGCGCTCACTGGCTCTCAGGGCGTCGTTACGCTTCTTGAACATCCCTCACAACTGGAGGAATTAAGAAGAGACCCGCTTCTGGCGAGAAAATTCGTCGAGGAACTTTGCCGATTCCATGTAGCTTCCTCATTCGCAACCCGTCGGGTGGCGAAGGTCGATATCACGCTGCGGGATAAGGTAAGTAAATCCACTGTTGGAAAAGCCACGGAACCTTCTCTGACAGATAGTAGCACATCAAAGCTGGAGAAGGCATAATCGCTTCAAACCAATCCGCAAACCGGGACGAGGACGTCTTTCCGGACCCAGACACGTTCAATATGCATCGAGAGACCGACTCCGAGCAGAATCTTGCCTATGGCTACGGTGATCACCGCTGTATTGCTGAAGGATTGGCTCGTGCTGAACTGGAGGCTGTATTCTGTGAGCACCAAGTCCCATGATGGTACGCTCATACTGACTATTACAGCTTGCTTATTCCAGAGACTGCCGAACCTGAAGCTCGGAGTACCCCACGACCAGGTCCGATATTCAGAGGCACACAAGGATGTTGGCATTGATGAACTACCGGTTACATGGTAATGACCTTGTGGAACGTTGCTATCTAACCGAATGTTGGAACGTTCGTAGCGCTTCAACTGGACATGAGTAAGGGATCCAAGCAGCATAGTACTTTCGCCTAGATTGAACCAATGTATTAAAATACCATGTGCTATCGAATATGAGTTCCGCTTTCATTAACTTTCTGAAACGACCCTTAATCCTACGCATGATTGCGGAAGTGTGGTGACCTGAGGAAGACATCTTCGAAGTAGAACTTTCGTGTTCCCCTATATTAATAGCGCATGCTCTCTCAAATATTCAAAGTCACGGCTGGAAGAACGGCCGCTCGCATCCAAAATGGTCATTTTCGGCACCAATTACACCGGTCCTCAAAAAGAAAAGCCCCCATCGCCGTGAAACGCCAATCCGTTCTTGGTATATGCTCCCATATTAGAACATCCAACGAAGATAACAATTGCTACTTGTTGAACCATAGTCCTTGGGATGCGCGTGCAGGCTCGCTGCAGTAATATCGCAGAAAGAGCTCAATATGATTGTTTGTGGGTTCTCTCAAATTGAACAGGCTCGAATGCTGGACGACCATGCGGCTGCCATCATGATGCGCGTGGATAATCCTTCCGTAGTCTGGACCCAAGTACGATATCATCAGTAGCTATGCAGTCTGTAAGCAGAATGGTGTGCAAGGCACGGGTAAAACGTACTGGCAGAGTGACATGGTCACGGTAGTAGCTAATGCCCATGCGTGTCTTCATGGTCCTCATGATGGCCTTGACTTCCCCGGCTGAAAGATCCACGCTCACAACATCTGTATCCGTCATCACGTCGATTATAGCGTGTGGATGGCGGTAGGTTGGGTCCTCTATGCAGACGGCTGCGCGCCAGTTGCTGCTGGACACGTCGAGCAGACCCAGAGCAGGATCTTCTTTCCATTTCCCTTTGGTCGTCGCCCTGAAGTATGTTCTGTGAGATTCCCATAGGAAGGTGGAACACACCACTTACCCCTTGTCAGACAGGCAGGTGAAGGTCCTCATGGTGAACGACCCAGGTACGATCTTATCAAGTCTATCTCCATGATGCCTACCGAGGATCGAAGGATAGCGGGGTCCTGGTCTTTCAGCCGCTTCTGTGTCTGTGTTCTGATGCTCGTTCTCTCCTATATTGTCTACCGCGGAGTTCTTAGTTTTCTCACTGTCCGTACGGGGATTACTGGCAAAATCTGGGGGCCGAGGATTGAAGAAGCATGGATTGAAGGCGATATAGTTTCCAGGGGACATATAGCGTCTCTCTGCACGGATTCCGACTTTCTGGAGGTCGCCACGGGTCAAGAACCGGTGCGGCGTGGACTCGACCAGTCGATGTATGCAGGTGACGCTGTCTTGCACATTGCGTCGTTTGTAGTCTAGTTTGATCCACATTGACTGGGAAAAACGAACCAGAGCAGGTCGTAGAGCTGTGAAGAGGAGGAAAAGATGTGAAGATAGGGCTTATGGGTTGGGGTAATGTTGACAACTCTATGTCATATTCGTCCGGGCCGATGTCACCATTACAAGTGAGGTAGATACATTAATCAGATTCTGGACAGACCGCTTAGAGGGGCACCGGAATGAGAGGGACCCTGAACACCCAATATTGTTATGGGATTATCTCAATGCAAGACTACTAGGAAACTATGTTAGCCTTATTGACGGTTCCTCGCTTAGACGCTGACTTCTATCTAGACTAGTCGAATCTATCCCCACCTGAACCAAAGAGAGGGCACTACCATGGGGCTGCTGTCGACTCGCCAATTTCCATCTAGACCTCAAATAATGCGCTAAGAATATGGCTCTCTTGGCAGCTTCTGGAGACATGATCTGTTGTACCAGTCCACGCCCGTATCTGATAAAACCTTTCCTGTTCAAAGCTCCCTCTTCGTTAAGGACTCCTCTCATATCAAAAATGCTCGTTCTGCTCCAGAAAAGACAAGATACATCTGCTCTTGTGACCAAAATGGATCGCAATATCGCTAAAATCCGCCACCACCAACGCCGAGCCACCGGATCGCAGGCTAGTTTTAGAAGATGGCGGACCTGCCCGACACCCAATATATAAGAGCCTCAATAATGGAGGAATCTGAAGATCCCATTTGATTTTGTCTGTACACTGTGGGGGAATTCGACAGTGGTCGTTCATCTTATCCTCTGCGTCCGCTCGCTAGACCGATATACCAACTCTACACTCCTTCAACATACACAACTCACTTTCGTTAACAGCCTGAACCTCATTTCAAAATGCAGTGCCCACTCATTTCAGTCTTTATTCTACCTGCTCTGTCGCACGCCTTCAGTCTCAACACTACAACATCATATTGGAACTACACGACGAGCAGCCTTGCCACCACCACGTCCTCAAAATGCAAAGAGGCGTACAGCGCCGAGATCGACTGCAACGAGTATCTAGTCCAGTTAGTAAATGCCGGTGAGCAGCGCTACTTCCTGGACAGCATGGAGCCCGACAACTTCACTCAAACCTGTACCCCAACTTGCCAATCTTCGCTATCGAAGTACATTGCAAACGTGAAGGAGTCTTGCGCGCAGCCGGGCGATGCTGCCGTGAAGTCACTGGGGTTCCTCGGAAAAGATGGAGAGGAAAACGTACCCGTTCAGACCATCGGGTCCCTGTTCCAGTATACACTCATGCAGTCATGCGCGAAGGATGAGTACGCGTCTCTATACATCTAGTCTTGTTGCAGGACACAATGCTGATGATCCCAGGGACGGTCAATTCTGCTACATTCAGCAAAGCTCGGTCCTTCCGGCGGACTTTGACTGCAACTGGGTCTGCGCACTGGCGTATTACTGGAACAACCACCAGTATCCGTATAGTCTCTGGACTGTGGGAGATCCCTCCATTCTCAACATCGATGCAGACACCCATCGTCGGGTCAAGGTCGGAAATGACATGTTGTTTATGGGTTCCGCGGGAGATACCTGGGTCGATGATGGGTGGAAGAATATCCAGAAGTGCGGGTATGGGAACTCGACTACTGCGCCGTTTGATATTGGAATCAAGGGTGTTGGAAACGGAATATTGAATGCTTCCTCGACCACCGCTGCTGCGGCCCAGCCTACTGAGACAGAGTCTGCGGGGAGCAAGGTGGTTATGACGATGCGGTTTGTAGGTTTGGTGGTTCTGTCAGCTTTTGTGCTGGTATGATGGAGATCAGTGCAGAGCTGGAGTTGTACGATTATAATCTTGTTGAAGACAACTGGGGGTGTCGAATATATATGATAGCAGCCGAGATTGCTGCAATTACTGTACTAATGCAACTGAGACATGCTTTATGGATACACAGTGTCCTGGGAACCTCTCAGTGATCCACTTATGCGTCGACTGTAGTGGATCAGTCAAGACTGCCGGTGCATCTAGTATGACAGCCTTCATAGTCTAGAAAGCCATGAAGAAAGTCAAGTTGACATACCAACTAAACTCAAAATATTTCCATAGTGAGAGGCCTATAGTGAGGTTGAAAGACTATACCACCTCCATCAACCGAGCATGTCGCAGCTCTACTCCCTCCATCCGATCCTTCCTGTACTTGTCATCCGCAGATCCAGTCTCCAGAAAGCGAAGGTGATCCTCCACATCCTCCCATCCACTAAGCACCACAAACTCATGCCTTTCCTTTCTCCCCTCTGCATGGTCAATCCGCCATCCACACCGCAGCATCCTCGGCGCAGTACATTCTTCCATACGACCCTTCACACGTGCCATACTATCCTCAAAATCCCCTTTCTCCTCTCCAACAAAACACCGCTCAATAGCCAGAACAGGCGCATCGAGCGGGCTACTCGCCGAACGCGTCTCCCCAGAGGCCGGCTCAACCCCAACATGGAACATCCAGACCACCTCCATCTCGTCCGCGAGGGACGACATGATGTTCTGATTGGTCGGCGACGGGATCCATTCGTTCATGTGCTGCGATACCGAGTCCCATCCGCCGAGCAGGTAGATGTATGAGGGATCCTCTACCTGCGAATAGAGATGCACGGGGTAGCCTGCGAAGCGGGCTTGTGCGGAGGCCCCAGATACGAGGGCGGATTTGGTCTCGGGTGGGATCTGACGGCGGTTTTTGAGGTGAAGAAGGGCGAGCTCTGTGACGGGCATCGTGGGATTATTGATGCGTTGGAATGGGATGAGGTTGTCAGAGATGGGGTCTGGCTTTATGTGTGGGAGTTGGGAGGTTCACCTTGACGCGTATGCGAAGCTGCCTAGTCCTTGGTGACTCCGGGGGAGGTTTTCCGCGCGATGATTACGAGGGAGGTGGATAGTTACTATGGAGAGTGTCAGAGTGGTCATTGAACATGATGTTGTATACATGATTGTGATCCTTAGTTCAAATCAGTCTGTTGTAGATCTGTGACCAAGCCGCCGATACTTCTGGCCGAAGAGTAAATCCTACTAATACTACCACAGACTGATTGCCCCAGTATCAAAGAACTAGGTTCAATCTCTCGGGTTCTAGAGACCAAGGAATGGGGGCATGTAGGAGATCAGTACTCTATGAGGTATATAAATGTCCTCACTTCATCCCGCATCTAGCAAAAGCACCTACAGATACAAAGAATATCTCATCAATCCACCACCAACCAGACAAAGAAATAAACTCCACCAACAACCCGCCAGATTACACCAAAAGCCTCACTCCAGCCCATGTAACCCTCTCCAACGGCCAACAAAGACCGACGGAGAAACCTCGCCCCATCGGACCCTGAAACCGCGCCCGCTCGACCGCTCGAAACGACTAGGATGCGCGTTCGAGAACGCTTCCGTACAGCACCGGGCCGGGGGTGATCAGACGGACATGGGGGTACCGTGGCCAATCTATCTGCTCCGGCGTGGGGTGGATGTGGGCTGGGTTCGAGCGGTGAATTTCTGGAAGAATCTCGGGGTTGCGTGCTCAGTCTAGATCGTCGAATGGATTAGGTGGTCTCAACCCATAGGAGAAAAAGCCGGTCAATCTCAACGGGATATCATCCATAATATCCATTATTATTCTTGTTATTAATGCGGAGGCGTGAATATACCCGGCATCAGGCGTCGGGTAATTACAGCGCGGACGGAATCCCACATCCACGCAAACCCCAAGAACCGGCGGTGAATGAGCCGTGCATGTGTTGCTTACCGCTTAATGCTCGAGCGTCAGCCGTTGGACAGTAGGACAGTTGGACCCTTCTTCAGATCCTTGATTGCAACGCGTCTTCGGCAGGGCTGCAGCCCCGTCCGTCCGCGACGGATAAATCGATCGCTCGTGTCACTCTGGACCCCTCTGGGGGCGCGCGGGGAGCAGGGGGTGTCCTGGTTTCTGGTCGGGTTCTGGACTGTTCACTCCCTTTCTCCCTAGATGCGATGCGGTGATCCTTTTTGGCGGTGAGGGATGGACTCGTTTGATCAATAATACTACCTGATGGCTGATGGATCGTCCGAGAGGGGGGATGAGGGGGGAGATGGGGGTGATAGGAGGGGATGCGTTGGGCGGTTATTGCAAAATCAGGGTGTGGAAATTCGGTGGGAGGCTCTCATAGCCAATCGACCATGTATGGCGATATCTCGGGAGAGTAAGGTAGTAGTGGATGGGATGGTGGTTACTGGTGTTTACCACGACGAGATAGACACCGAGTTGACCGCGATAGCCACTGAAACGGTGGGATGGGCCATGCCTATATTTGGATCCCTGCGAAACACGCCAGCCAGCGGATATCGATATCGTATCTACTCCGGAGCCATCTCATCCCACGCTCGGATGCAGCTGATTCAGATTACGAACCCCCCCCAACCAATATCATCAAGGCGACCACGGTCGGAGAAGCCCGAGTGATGTATCGTAAGCTTATCGCTGTACAACAAACAATGTCCGAGCAGCATGGATGATTCGAGATGATGACAGACGCGATATGGTCGCGATCGAGGTCATCTGGCTTCGACGATGACGCTGTCTATCATTCTTCTGAGTCTGACCTCAGATCCGCAGAAACCAGTTTTGGCGGTGGCAAGCATGGGTCATGCAGAACAATAGCTCTGTTTACATCGGTGGCTGAGCGGCCCTCCGCCACATACCTTGAAGTGCATACAGCGAGGTATACTGCACATAGCTAATTCGGAGTATGTCGGACATGAATCATCCAGCTCCAAAGGGTGGGGACGCCAAACAGCGACGAGTCAATGCTCCTCCCTCCTCCCATCGCGCTGGAAGTAGAATCCGGAGGCATGTACGTGCAGGAGGCATGTATCTATCAAGTGGGCTGCAGTCGCCACCGAACATTCCCAGCCCATTCCTTACATCTTACCCCATGTTCGATGTATCCACCTCCAAGCTGGAGATCGGCCGGGGAACCTCCCAGCGCTCTCCCTTGGGAAGTCAATTTGGAACCCGGAACTCCATCCCCAGCGGCTTTCTTCAGCGGAAGCCCCTTCCGCTGCGAGGAGGCAGATCTTAATCGCTTTCCCGTTCACCACCTGCTGGAGCACGGAGCCCGCTCTGTCTGAGCTTTGCTTCAGCGCTGCATCCGGTCAGTGCTTGGATCTCTCCCTGGAATCCCGTGCGCGCGTCCCAGCAGGGAGAGCTTGGGGATTAAACTCCGGACCCAGCCCGACATGGAGACCAAAGCTCTCGTTCCCGATCGGGGCAGAAGGTACAGACTGAATACGGATTGAGTGGGCGAGGGAAGTGATTTATCATCACAAACACACGGACGTCCGTCGTGGCGTCGACAATATACCTGATTCTTGTAGCGGAAGGGTTGGAAATAGATGGCATGGCATCATGATGTCCAATCATGGAGGAAGCGGTGTATCACCGCCTTTCTCGCTGCAGAGGAGGATACTCCTGGAGATGACGATAAATCCTGCAGAAGTGCAGATGAAGAGCTGTCTCCCGCAAGAGGTATCCGGGATCATGGGATGGCGATCGACCAATGGCTCGTTCACGGGGATGTATTGTCTGCTCTCCCTGCTCTCTGTCGATAGTGCAGTGCAGGAATGCCTCCCCATGCCGAATGCATTTACATATGCGTTCCTGTGCAGACAGCAGCCATCGGCGTCAACCGGAAAATAATCGGCGAGACTCGTCAGCCGCCAAAGTACGTACCCACGACGACCTCGGGGATGCAGGACCCCGAGATCGTGATCCCTTCGACCGGGAACCACCTCGGTATTTCTTTTGCCAGATGATGGCTCATGAATCCCAAGAAAGGGGGCATCCTGTCTCCTGGGACCAACGGCCCCCCTTTCCGTTCTCCCGCGGGCCTTTCCGTGTCAGCCCCCTCGCCGGGGAAGAAGACGAGTTGATCAGTCTCAAACGCCGGCCGACCCAATTTTGATGGATAAATCCTCAGAGCTGCGGAAGGCGACGCGGCGGTGGGGAAATCCGACGCGACGGTTCGATCGGCGGCGGGACAGAATCAGCTTCCCCGGTGGATGCCCGAGGAGGTACTATTGATCGATTAGTCCGAGGTCTAGAACCGTTGCTGTCAGAATTGAGCCGAGGTCTACAGGTAGTTAGGTTGCAGGAGATCATATTCAGCCGGATGTCGACAGTCTATCGTCTATACTTTGAAAGTGGGTGGCATCTGATGGATTGGTCTTGTCAAGTCCATCGAGATGGACCGTCTGTCACCTATCATCTGTCCATGTATCTACTGGCTGGTTGTCTCATAGACGTCTTGAGTGTGCATGAAACACGCATCAAACATCCAGACACACTGTAGACACCATCAAAAGAGGACAATATCAACCCCTGATCCAGCCGACCGAGGCATCGCCAGCCGCATGAACGCGTTGGGCGGATGGGATCCCATGGCACTGGAACAAGGGCAGAAATCTATCGAGCCCGAATCCTCGGGACAAAGACGGTTCGCCTTGTACGGAGTCGTAAACGATGATCCTCATTAATTTACCCGCTGGAGTCAGGGGGAGCTGAGTGGGTGCATTTGATGCCTCGGAAACCATTTCGCTGGGAGATCCTGCGGCCCCATCTCCATTCCATGCCATGTCCTTTCCGAGCGGTTCTCTTGGTCATCCTCCTGATCGGGAGAGGCACGGAGAAGAACGGAGAGTTACTCCGTCAAACGGGGAGAATTTCCCCGGCTGAGGCGGAGACCCGCGGGGGCGTGGATGGGTGAAGTCGAAGGAGGCACACTCCGCAGTATTATTCCCCAATCATCCGGATTGATCAAGGCGACGGACGGCGGTGGTCCCGTCGCGTCTTCGTTTGCCGGTGTTGGTCGAGAGTTGGGGGAGGTTGCACTGTGGGCGTTTCAACGGTGCGAATCTTCTGGAGTTGGTGTGACTTGGGCCTGAAAGAAGGGAAAAAGGGACGGAACGGGAAACAGTGGGTCGCGGGGAAGAGTCTCCTTGACCCGAAACTCCTTTGTTTTGGGTCGCTCGTGGAGGATGCTGGGTTCGTGGGGGTCTCTACCTAAGGTACGTACGTACTCTATTCCGTAACTATGGGTTCTCCTAGGAAAAGGAGTGCGGATCGCGCGGCGGGAGAACGGATTTCCGCCGAATCTGATAGTTGTTTCTTCTTCTGCCTTTATTATCAATTACCGCCCGAGTCGAATACCCAATATTGGCCTGTGCCTGTGCCTGTGCCTGCGCCTGGTGCCTGATGGTGCCTCATTATAATGACTATTATTATCGACCCTACAGACGACACGTTGCGGTTGACCGCAACATGGGATGCGTTTGATGTTGACAGGCATATTGAGGTACAGATAGACATACATGCTGGCAAACTGAAGAGCGGTGAGAGTATGTACGGAGGAGGTACATAAGGCATTTGCTCTTTGACCAGATGCATGGGGATGTCTGGTTCTTATTGAAGAAGTACGGGATTGTGGGATTAAATAATAGAAATAAAAATAAATATTGAGTAAAATAAAATAAAAGAAAGAAAAGAAGTAATAAAATTCCCCATCCGATCTTCCCCGGCCCGCGGACCGGTAATCTTTTTCTTTTTGAAATATTATTTTTCAGAAAATAAAAACATTTTCCGATAAATCCAATAAGCTAAAAAATAGATCGAACAAATAAATAATTAATAAATAAATAAAGAAATAACAGAAAATAAGAGTGATAAATGGACCAGGGTCTGCAGCCTCGATGAAGATTTGGATTATATCTATCTATCCATCCATCTACTACCTGGCAGCGATCCAACTCACCACAGCCCAAAGTACACTGGACTGATCCATTATTTGCCTGCGAACTGATTACCTATTATGGGATACATGCGATTTTCTTTTCGGTGAAGATTATCTCCATGCAAGGGAGTCCAGACACCCTTCCGATCGATCTGGCCCATGCTGTTCTGTCCATCTGCCTACATATACAGGCTCCTCCTCTGACCGACCTGACCTGATCACTATCTACTTCACCACAACACACTGATCTTCTACAACATCCTAGGAAGTCTTCTTCCTCACTCTCACACACTCTCCTCTCTCACTCATCCCCATACTTCCATCACACATCACAATGAAGTACTCCAAACCCTGTCCATACCCCTTCCAGCCATGGAGTCAAGGAGCCAGTATCCGCTCCTCGCCCAGTGAGGCCTCTCCCACCAACACCGTCGCCATCCCGTTCAGCTTCGGCTCCTCCTGCGACTTGGATCACTCGCTCGCCTCCATGCCCGCTCCGCCGCCTCCCTCGCCCACCGACTCTCTGCTCGACATCACCCCCCGCAAGGGCTCCTTCTCCGCCGCCTTTGGCGTGAGCAACTCCAACTCCTGCGCCTTTCCCTCTTGGCCCAACCGCCCCTCGCTGATCAACTCCGCCGCCGACGTCTGCACCACCAGTGCCTTCATCTCCGACGAGGAGCTCGACTTCGACCTGTCGCCCATGTCCGACGCCCCCGTCGACGAGGAGTCCGCCGTGCGCGACCCTCTCGACCTCACCACCGAGCAGCAGATCCAGATGATCCGCGCCGCCGCCGAGGAAGAGGCCCAGCGCGCCCGTCTGCTCGCCCAGGTCCACGCCCACGCGCGCGCCCAGCAGGCCCTCCGCGTCGCGCAGCTCGCCGCCCTCGAGCGCGAAAACGCCAAGCGCCGAAAGCGCAAGGCCATCGTCGAGAAGAAACGTCGCACTACCTCCGCCTCCAAGGCCACTCGCGCCTGAGCACGTCCCCATCGATCGATCAGCTTTTGCCAGTCTTATTGATGAGGCTGTCCTCCATCGCGCAAGCCACCGTTACTCAGACGCTGGGTTGCTTTTTCCTCGACATGGGGGTGGCAAATGACACCCCCAGTCATACCCCCAACATGACCACCCGCACCGGAGTGATAGGGCATCATTTCTTCTTCCGCCTGAAGAACATCTGACAGTCCTCGCCTATGGCCGGGGGCACGTGCATGGGTCGAGGCGCCGCAGCCGGAGCAAATCAGGCACCCTGGCCGCGGTCTGGAGCGGCTTACCTAATTTCCCCATCGCTGTCGGCGCATACTGCGATATTACATATTTCTCCTCATCCCTCCCCCCCGCCTCACTTCGTCTTCACCGCCAGATTGCGCGGGCTGCCACACACACCCCCGATGACTCACTTGTTTGCATTGTGCCTGGTTGCGCATGTGTCATTCTATTATCGTGCTGTTTATTGCTGATTCGTGCGTTGCGCGAGGTGTTGGTGGGCATACCCTGGTTTTTCCTTTTCGGGTAGTTCGTTTCAGCGTCATCTGTCTGTCTACCTGTCTGTTGTCTGTCTGCTTCCGACTTTTTCTCTTCAGCGATCCTGTTCCCTGTTTCAGCGTGTCTTTCCCGTCCGATGTTCAGATACCCCGTCGTGTACTTGTCTTGTTACGTCTTGTTTCTTTTTTCAGCGCCATACCCCGAGCCTCAGCTCCCGCATTGCATTTGATGTGATCCTCTTGCATAGCTAGCGACATACCCTGGTTTCCATCACGAATTCTTAGTTAGAAATTAATTAATCTCCATCCAGACCGCCGTCTATCGTAAGCCAACTCTACCTAACTACTTGTAGACCCCATGCAATCCACGCAATCCGACATCCCCCGCGCCCAACCCGAATCCGATCTACAACCCCTCAAGGAACCCCCCGATCTCGCGCAGCACCGCGTCCGTCCCCGACTTCGCCCGCACCGTTGCGCCCACCCCCAGCGCCTTGCACACGTCCACCACCATCCCGTCCACCGCCGCCTCGTACACCAGCAACCCCAGCGCAACCCCCAGCCCGTGCAGCGCCTCCGCGCTCTCCGTCTCGCGCTCGATCGCCTCCGCCACCGACGCCGCCAGCTCCACCTGCTCCTCTTCCGCCAGCCGCTCCGCCCGTCCCGCCAGCCGCGCGTTGTGGTTGTCCGCCGCGAGATTGTACGCCAGCGACGCTCCCACCACCCGCAGGTTGGCGTGCGCGTCCAGCAGGCTGCCCGTGACGAGGCGGAGGAGCGTTGTGCGTAGTGTGTGGCTTGTCCCGAGGTGTTCGGCGTAGAGTGGGGTTGTGAAGAGGTTGCACGCGAGGTGGAGGAGCACGATGCGTAGTGCGTATGGGGCCGCGGCGAGCTCGGCGTCGCTGGCGGCGGGGGCCAGGAGCGCCATCAGTGTCGTGTGGTGCGGCTCCGCGGCGAAGAACCCGGCTACCCGTGTGTCGAGGAAGAGCAGTCGCGCGAGATCGACGAGCGCGAAGAGCTTTTCGCGGGGAAGCGCCGCCGCTGTCGTCTGGAGGTATGTCGCGAAGGACGGGAGGTCGGGGAGGGGCGTGTCGGCGGCGGGTTCGGGAGACGCGAAGCGGTGCTGGATGAAGTCGAGGAGGGCGCGGAGGACAGGGTGGTCGTCGTGCGGGTGGAGCTTGGGCACGAGCTTGTCCAGCGGCGGGACGCGCTTGTAGGTCACGTAGGAGGTGATGGGGCGCTGGAGGCTGGGGAGGTCCAGCTGGCGGTGCGGGTGGGTGGGATGCGCCATCTCGAGGAGGAGACGGACGTTGCCGCGGAGCTGGGCTGGGTTCGCGCCGCTCCATTCGTCTGTCTTCTGGCCGCGGAGGAAGGTCATGAAGGTGGGCGTCGCGCGGACGTTGTACTTCATGCTCACGTCCATGGCTGTGCTGATGTCGACTTTAATCAGCACCGCTTTGGCGCCGGCCTCTTCGGCCAGCTCGTCGTACGTCGGGTACACCATCTTGCACGGCGGGCAGGTCGCCGAGGTGAAGAAGATGACGGCGCAGGATTGCGCCGCCGAAGCGAGACATTCCTCGAGCTGGGCGAGGTTGGTGACGATGTGCACTTTGCCTGTGCTGGGAGGTGCTGCCGCTGGGGCTGGTTGGAGAGCGGTGCCTGGGGCTTGCGTGACGCCGCGGAGGGCGGACTCGATTTGCGGTTTGAGCATCTGGCCCAAGGGTGTGCTCAGGAAGGTCTGGGGGAGGTTGCGGATGTGCTCGGGGATGCTTTTGCCCACGAGGAACATGGCAAGATCTTGGGTGAAGTTGTTGCAGTTGTGCAGAAACAGGTCGTAGGACTGACGGGTCAGTCGCTGATGTGCAATCGGAGACGCAGGCTTACCTCTGGAGTGTAGATCTCTGCTAGCGATTGTAGATACTCCTCGACCACGTCGGTGGGAATCTCGGTCTGGCCCAGATGGATTCGTTCCATGGGTTCTCCATGGTGGGTGGTGCCGGGAATGGCCGTCTGGATGCCCTGTCCGAAATAGTACTCCACGCCGTTCAGGACCAGAGAGGTGTGGTAGATGGCGTCAATTTGTGTCCCTGTCAGGGGCATCGAGTACTATTCTCATCAGATATACTTCGTCATAGGATATATGACTAGGACATACCATCCGGGCGAGACCCTGCAGATGTTAGTGATGAATCGTAGTTAATGAATCGAGGGGTGGAGTACCTTAGACAGGTCATACACATACAGCTCTACATCCATGATGAAGATGAGGACTACTAGAGCGTGAAGAGGGACGTGCCTATAACCAGGCACTGATGCGCTGGGGGTGACACTTAAAGCAGATTATCCGTAACTAGGCTCTCTGCAGTTACGTCAGCCGCTTTCCGGGGTTATCGGACTTAGTCATGCCTCTACTAGCACCTTCTATAGATCTATGGTTTTTTATCGCCACTGTCTTGTTCCTGTGTTTATGATGAATCAATCCTTCAGCTTCCCCCAAGCTAGACACTCAATCTGAGTACATAATATAGTCCTAACGAGAGTAATGGCACTGTACCTAATGTAAATTCGGCCGTATTCGAGACCACCGTGGTTGCCATCTACCGCATTTACCGCTTGTCGTGGCCTTATTGCCGTGACGTGGGAATTAGAAAGAAACTGACGATGGATGATGATTATGATTAATTGTCTCTATTAACTAGGAATAAGCTCGTCCCAGGCGTCAGAAATGGAAAACACAACGTGGTGAACATGAAACTCCGTGAACGCGAGAATTAGCGCGAAAGACAGTGAGTCGTAAAGACATTAATAGCATTATGAAGCGTAAAGTAGGTACAGAAAGGCGTAAGTTATCAGAATGCCGAAAGCAAGAGGTCATCAAGTCGTGATTTGTAGGGATGTCGTCAGTGCAGTGTTGAAAAGTGGTAGAGGTGATCATGCATTGACATATCAGTGCGATGCGGAAAAGCATCCTAAGAGTTGCTGCTGGCGGCTTTTTTGAGATTTCTAAAGGATATCTCAGCAGCTGCGTGAATGAGTTCGCACGCGTCGGGCTCGTCAGCATGCTGTCGCAAGAGATCGTCAAGGCGTGAACAGGCATCCTTGATTGGGGTGAGTGCCGCATGATTGTCGCGCAGCATCTCAAGATTTCGAATCACATTGTCAAGAGTTGCAGTAGTCTCACGCTTCTGATGTTCTGCACGAGTCGCCATGTTGAGTGATTCTAGGGCCTTGTTGACCCATTGAGACGAGTTGGACTGTTCACGTGGATGCGACGCCGTGGAAGGGTAGCGACTAACTGATTCCTGAGCTACCGGAGCAGCTAGTGGTCCTTATCGCGAGTATGGAGATCAGTCCGCAACTAACGGGTTCCAGTAAGACGCATAAATGCCGCCAGGTTTGTCGGTGACGATGTTGGCCTCCAGAACCGCCTCTCGGTTTCTAAACTCCACCGCTCGGTCTCGGATATCCGCCTGAAGACGTCGGAGCTCTGCTTGCGTCTCCTTCAAGGTTACGGCTAGCTGGCTGTTTGCCGTGCTAGTAGTGGCGAGCTCATTGGACAGGACCCGCAAGGACTCCTCCTGTGCGAGATGCTGTGCTTCGAATTTCGGAGCGATTGTCTGAACTTTGCCAATTGTCACCTCGAGGTCGCTGAGCAGCTGCGATCGACGTTATCCCATCTCATGACTCTCGGGATCGGATTGAGTGGGCTGGACCTTCTTTGGTGGCCACAAAGAAGGGAAGAAATATTGCACCCAGTCTTTTCCGGGTCCAAAGCTGACTAGGACAGGACTTATCCATGTCCAACAAAAGGACATTACTCCCGAAACTCGTTCGAAAGTTTCCCAAGACATTTGCCTGTCGAGGCACAGTAGCGTTGGCGAAAGAACGCGTCTTTTCCGGGTCCAAAGCTGACTAGGACAGGGCTTATCCATGTCCAGCAAAAGGAGATTACTCCTGAAACGCGCTCGAACGTTTCCCAAGACATAGTGGTAGTGGTGGTGTTGGTCGTGGTGATGGTAGTGGTGATGTGTGTTGTTGAGAGAAGACAGACTGAAATGGTGTCATGTTGACACTGAAGACATGGACGCAGAATGGTTTACACGGGAGGGGGTCCAGGGTCTATATATGCTGACGGCAGGATGCAACAGCAGTGCAAGGAAGGCACTGTATGCGGCAAGAACTGAACGTTACCGCGATCTTCCTACCTAGGTATATCAGTATGGAAGGATAGAAGGGGAAAGACCGTCTGGTATTTGCGCTCGGCTTCTGGTGATGTACGAGGATCAGATGGGAGCAATTGGCAAGAAGAGGGTTCGGGCCTTTTAAAGGGGAAAGACTGTGCCTCTGTGAAGATGCAGTCATTAAAGTGGGTGATGACCGAATGTATCATTGCATAACGAAGGTATATTCCATATATTGGTGAAGTTGTAATCTCACTTTTGATTGCTGTGCGGTGAATCTTTACTCTAAATATTAGTCTATGTAGCTTGATTTAGGTCAAAGGGCTTGTATCTCTCTTAAAGACAATCTTTTACTCTAACTATATCTAAACTAAAAACATTATAATACTACTAATGAAGAACACGAGCTCTATCAATCCCTATAAATTCAGTTAGCTGGAGTGATATCATTGCGTCGACGGATTATAAAGATGTTCAGGCTAGCTGGTCTGCTGCAGTATCTAACAATGATAATAGTGAAGCGGGGGAACCGCGGGAGATTGTTCCCTTCTCCTTTCTTTGTACTAGTTGTCACCAGGGCCTTAATTGTATATGTCCGGAGGCTTGCCCGTAGTTAGTTATGAATCAACTCTATTCTCTCTACTCATGGTGCTTTCTACTCTTTAGCCCTAGTAGTGTAGTAGGGTAGATGCCTCACGGACATAAGTCTTGATTGAGTGCTCTATCCATTTCTAGCCTCCCTCTGGATCGATCAAACAATCGAGGCTAAGCGCCGTCCAGACGGTGCATACCAATGACCGAACAAAGAAGCCTCGGGCCACCTGTGAGACGTCAATATGGATGGAAGAGAGACCAGTATGCGTGTACATTGAACTGTGGCCAACATCCCACCATCTGAACGTGAGATCTTCTCTACGCAAGCCCCGCACGAACGGCACGACCTCTGTGTCTCAGAAAACCATATGGCCCTCATTATGTCCAACCCCAGGCACAGCCAAAGGGGGTCTCCGGCAGGCTGAGGAAAGGAAAGATAAGGTTTTGCGCCTGGCGGGGGTGAAGGACTGCACAAGTGGACACTGAACGTTGTATGGACAGTCAAAGACGTTTCATCGTCATCTAGGAAATCTCCTAGCGAGACTGTCATCTTGATTCGAATAAATGCATCTACATTGTGGGTGACGACACAGTGGTGAACGAGGCGCCACTGACCATCAGGATGCAAAAACACCTGGAATTGCTGCGTGATTCGGTATTCTTTCAAGACATCAAGGAAACCAGTCTTCAACCATCTCTTGAGTTTCATCTGATCACGGCCCGTCAAAGCCAAACATGGGCATAGGTTGACTGTTTCGGCCGAAACCATGCATTGTCGCCTCAAAGGAGGGAGCAACAATTCCCAATCACGAAATTCATCACGAGGGTGGAGCTTGAGGCAGCGCGAACAGAAAGCAAATCGCTGGTCTTCAAGCCGAAGAAGAAGCCGATTCCTCGGAATATCCGGTCGGTCCAGAGGTATGGAGAATTTTGCGTTCGAAAACAGTCTCTGATAGACAAGCCGGTCATCTTTGAGGATCAAGCCAAAAAGGCGGTACATGCGCTTAGAGCTCAGTGCAAAACACCTTGCTCAGGAAAGGCAGCGACTCGAAGATCAGCGAAAGAAGCTCGAAGGGGAGGTCCACGATAGAAGTACGACCCCCGCTGGATGGCCCCTCCAAATCCTTGACATCTGTGGGATCGTCCGAATGCTCGATACTTATGGGTGGTGAGTCAAACATAGCAGTGAGACACGCTTGACTGGAAAATCCATTTGACAGATGACTAGGGAGTCTTCTGTAACCAGACCGGGAGACATGGGACAAGAGAGAGGTGATTTTCCTGCGGAGACGGGTGGCATCTACGACGTGCAGAAAGGATGTTGAAAAGACGTATGGCTATTCAAGTTGGGCCTTTTTCACTGACCGCTGGCCAGAAGGCAGACAGTTCAGGCCGGACTCTGACATCAACTTCATGTGTTCCATGGCTAACTCTCGCGTCATGGTGAAGCGGTTCAAGCATGTGAGTGACTGACCCAATCGTCCCGCCATTTCTCTTTGCTAATGATTGATAATGACACTCATTTTCGTCAGACCAAAGGCATTAGGACATCAATCGCGATGAGATAATGGTGAGACGTAGGTAAGGTTGAAGTGGAAGAGTGACACTAACAGTAAACAACGCTAGGCTTGACCAGGTATATTGCGGCCTCAGGCATCGACGGCGACGTCAGGCTGCGGAGATTAAGCCCACCTGGAACCTCTCCCTGCTGTCGCATCGCATCGCATCGTTCGCCATTGCTTTCTTTCCTCCAATACAATCCTCCGCGCATGTGCATGTGGTTGATACAGACTCTTGCAGCCAGGAAACAAAGCATCTGCCACTTACCACCTACCAATGGCTCTACGGCCCACTTCATCCTCGAGCTTCTGACCTCACGCACGACTGAAGATTCCCAGTCGCATCAGCACTGCGCGCATCACAAACTTGGGTAACATGGTAAGAGTCGCACTTGACTCCATCATACTTCTCAGTCTAACCAGACAAGCTACCCAAGAAGCGTGGAGCCCCAGCCGCGCCCAAGCGCTCGCGCCAGTCCAAACTCGCAAAAGAGAACGACATCTCCGCCGAAGAAGAGAACGAGATCAAGGAGGTCTTTCACCTGTTTTCGACTCAAAACGAGGAGTTCAAGAACGAGAAGGAGGGCGTCATCCCTCGGGAAGATGTGCGCAAGGCCCTCGTGTACATCCACACCTCTTTCATACCCTATGGAATATGGCATGGCTGACCAAACCAGTGCGCTCGGGCTGGGACCAGCCGACTCGAAAGAACTTCACTCCATCCTATCCGCAATAGACCCCACAACCACCGGTTTCGTTCCGTACGGACCCTTCCTTTCTGTCGCAGCGGCCAAGCTGAGATCGCGCGATGACGATGCCATGGCCGCCGAGGTGGACAGCGCCTTCCAGCTCTTTACGCGCGGCGCGGACCGGCCCATCACCGTTAGTGATTTACGGCGCATTGCTCGCGAACTGAAGGAGGATATTGGCGATGACCTTTTGCGGGATATGATCCAGGAGGCGAATGGCGGTGCGGGGATTGGTGCTGGGGTCACGCTGGAGCAGTTTCATGAAGTTATGACTCGAGCTGGTGTCTTTTGAGCTTGCACTCATTGAGGGATACAGGAAAAGGTGCTACGGGTTTATGTATTTGCACTAAAGCGGGTGTTAGGAGGATCTGTTTAGTGTTCTGTTCGCCTTGATACGGCATGTGTTATTATGGACTACGCTCAATGTACATTGTCGAGCTCACTGATGTAAAGACTCGCAACAAACCAGTGGCAAATGCTGAATACAAATAGCATGAAGAACGGCACTGTTGTTCATGAATAAGCAGAATAATGAATATTCGAAACAAGAACGCCTTGATGTTTTGGGTATCATAATGTCATATAGGTACAATGCATAGGGATGTCCTCAAAGAATTGGACGGTGAAGGGATCAGTCGACGTCAGCTAGGGAGATTCCGTTCGGAATCGGCAGGTCAACCTTCTCGGAGGATGAAACACTGGTCGCCTGAGATGTGTTGGAAGTGGCAGACGATGAAGAAACATCTTCCATAGTGACGCAGCTAGACGCGTAGACGTCTTCCGCTGGGTCAGCCTCGTCGCTTGCATTCGAGATAGAAGATGGCTCAGCCGCTTCATAAAAGAGCATGAACGCTCCGCCTTGCGCCATAACGTTGGACTCGCTGACCATCTGCACATCCTCATCACTGAGCCGAAACCAGCGTTCGGGCTTTTCCTTGTCACCGTCCGCCTCGATAACGGACTCCGGAACTTGGGCGGGGAAGGTCTCGGTTGAGTACTTCCGATAGCAGATATAGTGGCCATTTTCATGACGGCCGTAGTGTGTTACCACGGCCCGCAATTGATAACGGCGGTCAAACGTATCCCTGGCATCTCTGGAAGAGGGGAGCATGGATTCACGGGGGTTCGTGTCCCACGTTTCACCATCAGCAGACACAGTTCCCAGACACCATTCGCTAAGGTCAAGTGAGCTAGGAAACCTGACTGCCGCGTAGTTCTTTCTCATCAGCCCCGTGAATTCATCAAACATGCTTCGGTTGATATGGACCACCAAACACTTTGGCGGCCGTGCGATAACCGCCTGTCGCGACTTCGTTGAGGATACTCGGTTCTTCGAGGGGATATGGCATTTCTTCGAGAGCGTCTTTTCGGAGAAGTCTTCGTCTTCGAGGGCCTCCTGCACGGCGCGTAACCGCTCCTCGGCGGACTTTTTCAGCGCGGCCCCCATTTGCGAGGCGTCCGACGCGCTCTGCAGCTTCTTGTCTTCTTCTATTTGCTCTAACATGTTCTGTAGCTGGTCCTTCGCACGCAACAGGGTGCACTTGGCACATTCCACGCCCTCAATCGGCTCCAGGTGCATGTAGTCACGAAGACAATCGCGGATATCACATTGCGTATTCGAGCCAAGCGGAACGGTCAGGCAGTTGAACGGAATGAGCGAAAGACCCTCCGTCCACCCACATCTCATACAGCCGACTCGCTGCGCAAGGAGACCCTCGAGCGGGTTGCGTAGTGACTGGCGTTCGGGCGACTGCTGTGAAGAAATCTCCGCCGCAACATCCTGCAGAGTACTAGCTCCGATCACATGCTCCTGTGGACCGGCCATCTTCAGACCCAAGTTGCGAGTCTGTCGACGCGTAGCCTGCTGCACTTCATAATCGATCTGGTCCACAACCTTCGAGAAGTATTCCTGCGCATCCTGCTGTTGCCAGCTGCTCATTGACTTTAGGTCAGGCGGCGTCCACAGTCGCTGGCCGTAGCTGGACGCGCTGTTCAGTCGATCGATGATGTCTCTCAGGGCATGGTGGGTCGAGAACGACGCCTTGTCGCCGAGACCATCGATGTTCCGCTCCAGGAACTCCGCAAGCGAGCGGAGAGACGCCAGTCCTTGAATGATGCTGTTCTGGTAGCATGAGTTGTCCCAGTTTCCTAGTCCCGGCGGGAGATTGTCCCTGCCTAAGAGTGCCGTTCCGATGCCTGACAAGGCGCGAGCGCGAGGGATAAGGGAGAAGGAGGAGTTGTCGAGGCCGAAGATTCGCTGCATGGCGTCGCTTTTCTCCTGGAAAGTCATCGAACGGGTGTTCTCGCCGGACGAGTCGGCGGTCGTTTTCGAATCGAGAGCGGCGACGACCCTGGACGGAATTAAATACACGGCGACGTCCCAGAGGTTCCGGGCTATTGACACGGGAATAAACCGCAGGTGGTTCGCTATAAAGTAGATGGATATCAGGGCCACAAGGAGGTAGGCTAGGCTTGTATTGTTCCGCAGGTGGTGCAGGACAGTATCATACTGGCTGTTCTTCGCGTTATTCCAGGAACTCTGAGTGAGGATATCGATCCCCTCTCTGCGAGCATTCATGGCTGACGAAGAACGAGACAGGACAGCCGCATAGGGGCGACGATTGGATTTTCATGAACTGGTGTGGTGTAAAAACTGGAAGGGTAGAAAGTGTTTGTAACAGGTAGAAATCCCCGGCCTACGGCCGCCGGCGCGGATAATTAAGCGCTGCGTGGGTGGTCATTGCCGCCACCCGGAATGTTATCGATAGAACCGTATGTCTCCACAACAAAATATTTCTGTCGACGAAATCTATACTCCAACATACATACATCATGGGTAAATCAAAAGGTGAGCTTGATAGTATACTGGAAATGGAAAATTCATTCAGTTCTAACACTATGGCTTTCATTAGCTCCGTCCAAGCACTCCCGCGCTGCCAGGCGGGCAGCTTCACCCAGTCTTGATCTCGACAAGTCTCTCGCTTCAGCCCCGCGAGTCGAAGAACCACGACAGAGGGATTCAGTCCTGGCCGACCGCGCCAATGCCGGGGTGATGAAGAAAAGTTCTAAGCCCAAGGCCAAGACAAGAGCTCAGAAACTCCGACAGCAGAAGGGCATGGAGCGAGCGGAGGCTGTTTTGGACCAGATGGAGATCAAAGTATCGAAAAGCCTTAATCGAGGAAAAACCGTGAAAGCGCGGAGGGTATGGCATAATGACTTTCCTGTATACCGAGAGTCTGATTCTGACATCGATTACTCTAGGCTGAGTGGGAAGATTTGAATCGCAAGTCGGCGAAAACTATGTTCCAGAATCTCAATGACGAAGCCGATGATGACGACGCTATGATTGACGATACTGGAGCCGCCCCATCTGCCAACAAAAAAGCACAGCCGGCAGCTGTAGCTCAGAATCCTGTTCAGGACCAACATGCCGATATTGATGTGGACGACGATATTAGCTGAAAGTGACACCAATGTCGAAAGGAAATACCCGCTGCGGCGTCGACTATTTCCTTGGCCTGAGCTGGTTGATCATTCGTTCGATCTCAGTAGCGGCTAGACCCGAGGCTCTTGTGCGGAGGAGCTCGAGGGTATTCACATCCTTTGCCCGGAAGGCTTCTTCTCCAGCTTTTGCGATCATTCCGCATTTCACCCACATCTCGACCTTCTCCTCAACTGGCAGGCTGGTGCATTTCGGAACGAAGACCGATGCGAGCTTTGTGTTTCCGGCGCCCAATATCTCATTATAGAAAGGCTATCATGGCGTGAGCAGGTGCAGGTATATGAGGGATAAGATTTACTCACTTCCCATCCGATGGGCGATTTCTTGTTTCTCCCGATTTCCTCCAGTTCGCCCCAGTCACGCTTAGCGACCAAGGCTCTTAGTCTAAGCCACCAATATGTCTTCTCGGGCATCTTGAACTCGCTCTGGATCTTCTGTGCTCTTTTTCCGTAGCCGGCTCTGATAAGCCTGTAGACGGTCTCATTCAGGCTTAACCCGAGGAATTCAGTTCGATCAGAAAGATCCTTGTCCAAGCCTTCTTGAACCTTCAGCAGCTGAGACGACTCGGAGAGTAGTTTTTGTTGTAAGACGACCGTAGGATCTTTAGAGTCGGCTAGCAGGCGAGATGCCAAATGAAGCTTCTCGATTTTGCGGGATATATCAGTTTCGTTGAGAGCCTCCGCCACAAGTACATTCGATCCATCAATCGGGCGATCATCCTGATAGTATAGATCTTTAAGCAACTCAGTATCCTCTCCTCGGGCAGTCGTTTCCACCAGGGCAGACGCCATAGGGCGGGTATTGATCATCCGGAAGAAGCTGGCAAGAGGCACCTTGCTCTTCAGATGTAGAAGAACGTAGTTGACTAGGTCATTGTCACCGCTTTCGATGGCTTTATCCAGGGCGATCTCGTCCTCTTCCATGTTCAGAAGTAAAGGCACTTGTTTTCCTGCTCTTGGTTCGTGATTCAGCAGTTGAGTGGCTAGGTGAGAGCGGCCCTCGTCGTATGCAGCCTGAGCTATCAACTCAAACGATATGCCCGGTTTCCCTTCTAACCGCTGAACAATCAACTTGCAAACAGCTTCATCGTCGACCGTGGAAACTTTGACCTTCTGGCTCGCCCAGTGCACGTAGATCCTATCGGCGGGAATTTGGAGGTATTCCGAGATCCTGATGGCCAGCAAATACTCATGTCTGTTCACCAGACGTTCGATCAGTTTCTCGGGTGTTAGTCGCATGTACTGTTCGTAGGATATCGGGAGCCCGATTTGATAGTCCCTCACGGCCTTCAATACCCGGAGTTTTTCGGTCATTTCCACGAAATCGTCGCTGTTATACAATTCCAAAACCGACTTTCCGAAAGATGCTGCTTTCAACAGTCGCTTTTGCCAGTAGGGGTCGAATTCATGGCCTGCTGCTTTGACACACATGTCCACAGCCTCGGGTAAGCTTGATCGAATGCGCTGGATATTTTCATCCGCTTTTGGTGATTTCTTCTCCAACAGGTCGATTGAATCTAATAGTACCGAAGCCGGGGAAGTAGACCCGAGACGAAATATGGCTTCCGTGACATCTTCTTGTCTTTAGCAGTGTTTGTGTGGGATGGAGTCGCGGGGACTGACCTGTCACTTTGTGCAGAAACTCGCAGGTATCATTCGTGAGCAGCCGTACGCCATCAAACTCGGGTATCACATGCACTGCGCCGTCATAATAGTACCTAGATCGTTTGAGTAAGTTGCACTCAGGGAAGGGAGGTTATGTACACACCTTGCAGCAACACCGTTAGGACCAATGAGATGGACCTCATCTTCCCAAGCAATAACCACGGCGTCGTCTCCGCACCACTCAACCGATCGGGGAGTGACCCGGGACTCAGGGTCGTATTCGCTGTACTTGCTCTGGAAGTCGCTGCTGACTACCCATACCTTTCCCTCTGCAGTGATGAGGGCTACAAATCTTCCGGTGGGAGACACACTCGCATGCTTGAAGGGGCCATTCTGCAGGACTTTGTCTTCGGCTTCCGTCGGGTCAATCAGATATATGGTCTGGTCAACAGCGAGGAGAACCTCAACCGAGCGAGATAGCGTGTAAGCCGGAGGGATGAGTGACCAGGATGAGACTTCGCCTTCTGGACAAGGGGCCAGAAGTTTCGGGCGTGGCTCATCGTAGTTAGACACTGCGATTAGCTGGTTGTTGGAGAGAAGGGCAACAAAGCCCGCATTCCAGAATCGACAGGCTCTGACACCGTATTCCTCGGCTCCCTGAGAGAGTTAGTACAGGTCAAAACAATTCATGGGAACCGTCGTACATTTCCCAGTGAGAAGGAGGTGAAGTCGCCGTGCAGGCCAAAGTAGCGTCTGACGGTTCCGTCTTCCGTGATCAACAGGAGCTCCTCCTTGTCGGACCAGCCAAGGCCACGAATCGCCCCATGTTCGCACTGAGATGCATTAGTAAAGGGGGAGTATGTGAAGGAACAGTTAACCCACTTGAATCCGGTTGATATGTTTGCCTGAACAGGAGTAGATATCAATGCTCGATCGAGCGGTCTGCGCGTCCCGAAACCGGTACGGCTTGCTTTCATCCCGATGCAAAGCTGGACACACCAGTCAGTAATGCGCGAAGGAATGATTCAGTCATGGTCCATACCAAGAGCGCCGCCATACGGAGCACCCGCCACGATGTAGTTCTCTAACTCGACATCCTGGTCGAAGACGGCGTCGTAGATGGACACCTTGCGGTAGAAGCTATCGCCTAGCCTCTCCCAATTTGCTAATGGATTTGACGGCGCCATTTATGAAACTGCTCCCATGGAAGGGGATATGCGACAAGCAGGCCAGAGTAATATCCCCAAGATGAATGATCGGGGAAGCTCCCGTTGCGGCTGCTCACTTGGGGTCTCCGCCGGCGCTAAACCCGCTTGGGTTGCGGCGGTGTATGGCCACATCGGGGTATTCCCGTGACTGCCGCTATCAATTGCAGACAACATATTTACATTCCCGGCTTCACGATGAATCCTCGCGAGCATGGAAGACTCCGGGAACCTCAACAGCTTGGCCGTGGAGCTGTCCGATCTGGAAGTGGCTCTTTTTGTCTGTCTTGCGGTCGGCGAGCACTGTCGGATTGACACCACCGACGCGAACATTCATGACGTTGCTAAAGAGCTATCCTTGGTAGGCTGCCGATCAGATATTTACTTTGACGGGACTAACAAGATCGTGGCAGATCTGCTCGAGCACATTTGGGCTCTCTAATTCAATCCTTGACTTCTCGACAGCCGTATCATTCGATGATTTCTGCCGTGAGATCATCCCGTCGGGTGCGCGCTGGCCCAGAAGAGCCACCGAACAGATCGTCAATGTGGTGATAGCTAAGAATTTCAACCGTGCCGACGAGAACATCCAGCTCCATGCGTTGGAGGTAAGCGACCCCTCTATGTACCAAGCGCAATACTAACATCCATAGTTAATGCGCACAAAGAGACTCAAAACACAAGAAACGGTTCTCGAAGGGCCGGAAAACTTCCTCTTCCTGCCTTTGACTGTGCGAAAAGCCGCAGACGACAGCCCAAAACTGAACCCTCATCTGGTATGATCTCTTCGATACCTAGATACCCCGATCCTAACCCTAGCAGAATGACCATCTCATCCTCTCCCACTTTCACGACACCCACGACGACTATGTCTACCTGGAAGACAGCAACGACTGGCTTTCCGATCAGGGGTCCGCGTCTTCCGTCGTCCGGAACCCGAAGAAGGGTCGTCCCTTCATTGACCGAACGGTACGTGTCTCTCCAATTCTATTCAACAGTGGCTGACAGACGCAGCTCCTGGACAAGCTACACCAAGCCAGCGAGTCCGTCACTGCAGGCGCAGACGTCCTCCGGTACCAGCAGGACATTGTAGTGTTTCTCCGGCTCAGTCGGGCTGTGGCGGGTGGAATCTCCACGCGATCTAACGTACAGTTCAAGCAACTCTCGAAGTAAGTATCATCGCACAACAGCGCAAAGACACTCGGCTTACTCTGCAGACTCCTCGCGGCACTACACGGCATCGACTACCTCACCCCGTCGATCGTGGCGCTGGCCGCAAAGAAAGCCTTTCGCCATCGGATCGTCGTGGCAAAGCCGGAAGACGATCGCAGTCTGCAGTATGGCAGTGATCTTGCCGCCGTGTCTAAGGTCCTCTCCTATGCTACGCCTGATACCATCTTGGACAGTGTGCTTACACTCGAGACTCCGGTGTAACATTGACTTTATGCATTCATTGCAACGTTTACATCAGCTGGTATAATCAATCACCGTCTAAACACCAAACCGCCAACACCGCCGGTCTATCACAGTCCGATCTAGACGCTTAATCCAGATCCAGCAACGACCCAACCAAATGCAGAATCCCACCCAACAAATCGGTGACCAGATCCAGGACACCGCCCAACAGCGAAAACGTAAACGACAGGAGACACTCAAGCGTATCCACAAGGCTCTCGAGCACGTCCTCAAGCGAGCACACCCCGTCATCCTCGTCGTCCGAGTCGGAATCCGAATCCGTGTCCGTGTCGTCCTCCGCCACGGTCTTGTTAGCCGCCACGCGCAGACGCAGGTCGCGCGCGCTCACCGCCGGCTCCTGGCAGCTCAGCATCTTCGACGAGATCTTGTCCTGCGACTGGCCCAGCAGGCCCTGGAACGCCTGGATCTTCTGGATCAGGTCGCCCATGTCGCGCTTCTCGGCGGCGGTGGTGGCGTTGCCGTGTGCGTGACTGTGCGTGTGTGCATGCTTGGCGTTCTGCTCATGGAGGAGCTTCTCGAGGAGCGGGGACACGCGGTTAACGGTGTGGTTGAGGCGGTCCAGGTGGCGGCAGTTGTTGATGTTTGCCCTGGGCACCAGCGAGTGGGCGCTGATAAAAGGGAAGAGGAGGAAGGAGACGAGGAGGACGACGAAGGAGAACTGCATCGTGGCGTATTATTAAAAATTAAGAGTATGGGGGGATATAAAACAGTAGGAGTGAGAGTGGACTGGACCGGGGCATGGCTGTGCTATATCTACCTTACGGAGTAGTCTACTCTCGCAGACAATGTCTTGCATAGGCAGAGCAGACTACGACAGGAACAAGTAACGATGCACACGAGCCCACTGCGCGGGAGAATTTGGTAGGCAGTCCTTATCGCGGGTTTGACACTATCGACCTCCATTCTGGGCATCCTTACCGCTTCGGGGCGGCCCCTGAAGATCGCCGCTGGGATGGTAGGATCCCGGCGGGTTGGTGATACGTTAAGCGAGGTGTTGGATATGTCATTGCGGGTGGAGGTAATATCGGTTAGAGCAGCTCCACCATCCCATATCAGGAGAATTTCTGACATATATACCGAGTACACGCGCAATATATACGAAGTAAACCCAGACATCTACCGCACTGTCCGCGGCCGCATCTTGAGAAACATCTCCGGCGGCGCATATGCATCGTCCAGTCCAGGACTCGGGTTGTTCGGCGCGGTGACCGGCGGAACAAGCTGCTCCCCTTGCGCCCCCAACTCCCCCGAGACGATCGTCTTCCGCCATTCCGACAACACGACGCCGAGCTCCGTTTTAGCGTCGCCGACAATCGCGTCCATTTTGATGTCGTTGCGGTCGTAGCCGAACGGGTCCTCCAGCTGCGACCCGATGCCCTCGATGCCGTACAGCGTGAAAATGACCAGGCTCACAATCGGCACGGTCCACCAGCCCAGGTCGTCGACCATGCCGAAGGGCAGGACGCAGCCGTACAGCGCGAGGACTTGTTTTTGATGGATTCTGTGAGTTATCTATCAGCTATTGACCGGGGGAAGTTCGCGGAGAGGACGAATGGATAGATCACAGCTGTCGCACGACATGTCGAGGAAGAAGAGAGGGAACTCACAGATGCGCCACAGGGATAGGCGTCAACTTGATCGTCTCCATCTTCCCATACGCGTCCATCAGGGTATTCAGCTGGGCCTGCATCTGACTCGCCCCCGGCGCATTGAACCACCCGCGCTGCTCGCCGCGCTTGATGAACCCGTCCACGAAAAAGGTCAACTGAAACGGCAGCCCGAGCCCCTCGTCCTCGTGGCCCTCCAAGCCGACAGGCAGCAGGCTCGCGTAGTCCGGGTTGTAGGCGGCGACGCCGTCCTCGCCGACGTCGCTGCCAAACGCCCAGGCGGCGCCCCATTCGGCGCGAAGGTGGTTCTTGACGGCGAACGGGATGGCCATGAGGATGCGCAAGGTGCGCTCGATGTCCTCTTTCTCTGCGGGCGACGGCGCGGCCCGCGGGCTGTAGGCGTTGGTGGCGATCGTGCGCACCAGGTTGCGGATGCAGGTGTTGACGGTGTTCATGCCGTTGCGGCCATCCCAGAACCGGTTGTAGGAGGTCTGGTTGCGGAAGACGAGCATGAGACCGACGACGATTGAGAGCGAGGGAATCTTTTGTCGGTTAGTTTGTAGAACTAGACTTGGCTGTGAGAGAAGTAACATACGATGCTGTTTGGTAGGCCGACGGTGTCGAAAATGTATCTATCCAGACACACCACAAAGGCCGTAAACATCGCATGCAACACGACCGGCAACAGGATCTGCCCGTGGACAGCGCCTTTGACGAACCGGAAGACCAGCGGCCATCTGGAGATTTATCAGCGCGTGTCTTCCGCCGGGTGATTGATTCCTCCTACCTTCGAGGCTTCCGTCGCGTCGACAGTTGGTGGGGATGGGTGCCCCGGCGATAATGATGGCCGTTGACAAGGGATGTGTTCTGACGACTCAACGTCGGCGTCGGGGGTTCGCTGAAATTGAGGCGCATGGTGAAGCCTGAGCCTTGGGGGGTGTTGTTTTCTTTATCGGGGAAGCATTGTCCACGCGTGGAGGTGAAAAGGAGCGGTCAAGCCAGAAACTTACTAGCCCAGCCCTGACCAACTGCCGCGTCGATAACCATCGAGGATCAAGAAGCGACTCTACACCATTTCGACATCTATGGCAAATCATCGCCCCTCGTTCCAGCAGAAGCCAAGCATGATGGGCGGGGAACCGGGCGCTATGGTCGATGTTGTATGCTCGTCCTCCGCAGCGATCGACTGGGATGACGTCGATGTGCAGCTGGTTTTAAAAACACCGATAATAAAAGTCATTCCTATTGCCCAGAACTCAGACTACGGATGGCGTAGCAATTTTTACACCAAAGAAACTGTGTTGCATATCTTCAACGATTCCAGCCGTAAATACATGTCAAAAGGGGAACGCCACACCATATCCGAAACGCAGAGCTATGCATGTTTCCAACAAACAGCCCCTTTGCTCCAGTGGGGACGGTCAGTCACATGGGTACAAGGAGGTGACCCGTCCGATCGTATCAAGAGGGGGTGAAGGAAACGGAAAATCTCAGTGTCGCAAAAGGGGGTATAATTCAGATGGGGTGAGATCGACATGGTGATGCTAGAACAAACAAACGAAAGCGCGATGCAGAGACAGGATGTAAATAAGATCAAAGAAATGAAACTTCACAGGCTTCAGTAAGCCTCCCAAAATATATGATGCAACTGGCTTGTATCATGACATGCCAGCCCGACCATCAAACGCCAACGGACCCGAATCATTCAGGGGGGTCAAGGGGTTCTCATCCGACGAATCTGACCGAACTGGCGTGTCAGAACGCAGGTGCGCTTGCTGGCAATGGACCGCACTCGGGGTCCGTGCGATGGCTTGCCATCCGGGGACGTCAGAGTTGGCACTGCGGTCGGTGGTGGAAATGGTGAGGGACGGATCGGTAGAACGAGGCGACTCCTCCGCCGCTTCTGTCGGCTCGTCGCGGAGGTCGAAACGCATGTTTTCAATGTTGGCGGCCAGACCGGCTTCCATCGGCAGGCTGGTCGAAAAGCGGTCCTCCGAGTGGCGAGGAACATCCGAGCTGCGATTGCTCCCAGACGACGATGTGTTGGACGAGGGTATATTGGACGAGGATGAGTTGGTCTCAGCTGGTGGCTGTTCTCCTCCCAGTTCTCCCGAGTCCTTTTTCTCCTCTGGGGTCGTCGTCGGCTTCTGCTCGACCTCCTCGTAGTCATTCGAATCGTCGACTTCGGCGCTCAGATCCGTGTAGGCGCGGCAATTCGGGCACTGGAACATGGGGTAATCGGGGGTATGGATGAGACGACTGACACATTTGTAGTGCCATACGTGAGCGCAAGCGGCCATGAACAGACATTGATAGGGTCTCTGCAGTCCATGTTAATAAGATCCTCAGAAAAGTGCTCTTGGAGGGCAACGAACCAGGACGGAGCCGAGACAGATGGAGCATTCGCGACACCCTGAGTAATCGGCGGTCTCGCCCTTTCCCAGGTTTCGGATCAAGCTTTCCGTGTTTTTGCTGCAGGTCGGTTAGCATCGCATGCATGTAGACTATCTGCAGGGTTTTTTTTTTCGTGGGACGGCTACGTACTTGAACTCGTTCGGCTGCTGCTGCCAAGACCGATTACATTCGATTCGGATGCGGACGCATCGGAAGATCATCTCCTCCCCGCCACGAAAGTCGATTCCCAGCTGCACGATATCTCCATCCTTGATGGTATACAATCTCGACGCCATGTTGGGCTGGCTGAGGCGCATGTGATTGAGGAAGGTGCCGGACGAGCTGCCGACATCCTTGATATGCCACTGCCCATTCATGTACAAGAACTCGCAGTGTTTCCGACTCACGACCTTCGATTTGAAGCCGACCGGAGCGTCAGACGGTTCGGATGGGTTGGCGGCGGGGAGTCCATCGCGCTCCGAGTAGCGGCCGACGCGGATGACACAGCTGTCGGAGGGGAGGGTCCGCGAGATGGGAATGAAGGGGAGGGACGGTCGCGAGCTCTGATGGGAGTCTTGATGGGGGTAGAATCGAATTGTGGCCTTCTGCTTGGGCCGTGGTGAGGCGGAAGAATTTTCCGTCATGACAGGATCGGCCGAGTCGAGGAGACCAGGTTGGAGGGTCGACGGGGCAGACGGCGTAGCGCCTTCAAGAATGGTCTCTGGTGGTTGAGATGAGCCTCTCTGTCGCGCCATCGTTCGTCCTTGCGTCGACGGGCGGTCGTCGGGCTCGGTCGCAGTCGCCAAGAGAGCGGATGAAAAGGAGGACTGGTGGGGATCGGCGTGGAAACCCAAATCGATATCGAGACCGCTAGAGAAAAGGACCGAGCTATCCAGAGTAAGGGTGGGTTGTTGTTCAGATTCGGGGCATGAGGCCGACTCGGTGGTGTTAGCGGCGGTCGTCGTGGTCGTCGTCGTGGTAGTGGTAGTGGAGGGAGGAGTCCCCACAGTGGCCGAGGATGGAGGCAAAGGTTCGGACCCAGTCGCAGGAGCCGGTGTAGGAGCAGGCGGAGTGACCGTAGTGGAGGAGGCTGAGCGAACCCCCCGAGTAGAGTGGGTATTGCGACGAGACAGACGATGAGAGGTGGTGGAGGAAGGGAAGAAAGAGGAAGAAGAGGAGGAGAGAAAATGACTTTGTGTATAAGCACGCAGTTGGCTGAGTCGCCTGAGGGGCCCAGCAGGAGCAGGAGCAGAAGCAGAAGAAGAAGCGCCCGAGCGAGGCTGATCGGACGATAGGTGGTTGGAGGCGGAGGCGGAAACGGATGCAGCCATGGGTCCGGATGGGCCTTTTTCTTCTTTTCCTTTTCCCTTTTTCTTTTTTTCTTCTTTTTTCCTGCTTTCTCTTTTTCTTTCTTTTGCTCCTTGCAAAAATAGGAGACTCCAAGATCGTTCTAACAAAGCCTTGAAGTGATAAGTCGGGTGGTGGTCGTTATTCAAAGACGCAGGGTCCTTGTGGGCTCGAATCAGACAGGGAGCGTGAATGGACCTCTCTCATCAATCATCAATAATCGGAACCAATATTAAAGCTTAACTTCCACCATTCAGGGAGTAAGATTGAAAAGAGAGAAGGAAGGAAAGAAACAAAGAAAGAGAAGAAAGAAAAGAAAGTCGAGAGCACAATGGACAAGAAGTACTCTAAGTAGTTCGTCAGTGTTAGATCTCGTGCAATATAATGGATCGGCGCGTCAGAGCCTTAAATTGGGATCATCTGGCTTAACACAGGTCGGTCGACGAGTGGATGCAGTTTCGACAAGATGACGCCCGAGTCGGACGAGCGATGGTTCGATCTTTAAAAACTGGGTCTGATGGAGGAGCAATTGGCGTCGGACGGGTTGGACTGGCTCCATAGACCACACCGAATGCCTAGGGAAGTGTAGGTAGGAGGTAGGAGTGCCTAGTAGGAACAGAAACACGTCTTTCAAGGGTGAAGACTGCCGTAACGTGCAGTCAACCAGACGCGACAGATATCCTCCCTGGAATCACCCTAAGGAGCTATGCGAGTCAGATGGGCAGATCTCTGCAGTAGTGGGGCAACCAGGCATGGGTCGACACTTGATGAGGGTCGAGGGAGATTTCCTATCAAACACCCAACTACGCAGTAACTAATACACAGGTAGTAGACTCGATCGTATGGAGTCCCTAACTCCTTAGGCCAGCGTTAGTCTCTGATCTTCCTGGTTGAAGTGAAGAACCGGTTCCTCTAGGCGGAGACGGGAAGTAAGGCATGAGATCGAGCCAGTCCATGCCGATCTCGAGGGGGATTTGTCACTTTTGTTACTACTGACATTCCTTCCCCTGCGTACGGAGTAGTCCCTGTGTCAGGTAGTTAGATACTATGGGGTACTGTAGTACTCCGATCGATGCTCTGTTTCTCAGTGGATCTCAAGAATAAGACCCCTGGGAGGATTCCTTGGGCGCGCCCACGGAGCTTCCATGCTATCCATGGTTTGAAAGGGGACCCCACCACTTCGCCTCTTGCCGCTCTTCTTAGGTAAGATCCTCCCCCTCCATTCGGTGCTTTTTCCAGGCTGAGATCGTTGCCGATGTTCCTCAGCCTTATTTCGTCCTCATTTAGTTACTAATCCTCAGTAACCAAAATATTGCTGAGAATAATTTGAACAAAAGAAATTAAAGGATACAAATATATTATGTAGTTACGGTATGCACGTTCATCATCCTCATACTCT